TTCCTCTTTGCTCAGCCATTATTCTAGTCATATAACTTAAAAAAATTGAAGACTTAGAATTACATGACAACAATGACAAACTCTCCCATCTGTCTTTCTGAGACAGGAGGCTGCATCATCTCCTGAAGCAGAACACACCCGTGATTAGCCCAAGACTAAGAAATGGCTTCAAATCTGATGAGAGGTACTTTGATAATATACCTCCTGCTCCCAGGGAAATAAATCTCAGAATTCTAGAAGAGAGAGCAGATTGAATATTTCATTTCTAAAAAGTGATCTGTGTTCAAGCAAAATAAAAAGAAGTAAATGGTGCTTATACTCCCTCTGGACAGAGAGAGTAAATACGGTAAACAAATGACTATATGATGGCATGATCAAGAAAGATTCCCACAGCCTTCCAAAGGAAAGGGCAGAATCTATCAAAATAGTGAAAGGGGCAAAAGTACTTAAGGAGGTGGGATGAAGGATGTGGCAGGTAAGAATCACTTGGTATGTTGAGAGAACAATGATCCTTAAGAATTTAAGGATCCTTAGGAGTTGATTTGGTGCCACTCCTCCTACAACCAAATTTTTCTTGAAGAGCATATTACCAAGATAGTATATATCTTAACCATAATTATTTTATTGTAAATGAGCTGAAATAAACCCTATTGCAAATGGGATTTGAATAGCTTGAAGATAAGAGCAGGTTTTGGTCCCTCACCTTTTGTGTCTGGGTGTACCATTAGCTTATAAAATTTGAAATATTAGGCTGATTTAAAAAAATTAAAAATATATCTATGGAATAAATTCATGTGACAGTTCTGTTTATGGGCCTTCATTTACAAGAAATAAACAAGTATTTATGGATTATTAATTAAAACTAAGCAATTAAACAAAAACATTTGCCTGAGCTAAACAGGTTTAGAACATTATATTTTTGGTATGATTCCATAAAATTGTATCATTTTATATAGGTGGATAATGATTACATGTTACTCTTTTGTATAGCTGAGAGAGTACTTACATTAAACTGTACCTTCTTTTCCAAAAGGCCACTAATAGGCATCATATATAGGCCAGGCATGGTTCCTCATGCCTGTAATCCTAGCATTTTGGGAGGCCAAGGTTGGCAGATTACTTGAGGTCAGGAGTTCTAGACCAGCCTGGCCAACATGGTGAAACCCTGCCTTTACTAAAAATACAAAAATTACCCAGAAATTGCTGGAACTCGGGAGGCGCAGGTTGCAGTGAGCCAAGACTGTGCCACTGCACTCCAGCCTGGGCAACAGAGCGAGACTCTGTCACAAAACAAAACAAAACAAAACAAAAAGGCATCATATAAACTCTTACCAAGATTAACAAAACTTGATAAATTTGTCATTTTGGAGAAGTTTAGCGTTTTTATTTCATATACTTGATAAACTGAGACTCAGCACATTCTTTGGACATTATATAACATCATCAATATTTGAATCTAGGTATAGAACTGTCTTGGTGGCTTGGTATCTTGTGCCCTGCCATTAGAAAGCACAGTCCATTTAACAGCTCATTTTGCACCTGCCCTGGATTTATGCAGTCTGATTCATAGTTTCAGGAAGCTATCCAGTCCATAAAGGGATTTGGAATTGATAATCTCCTCACGTATTTAAAGTTATTCTTTGGTAATATTCAAGTTGGTCATATTCATGTTTTAATTTACACAATGAAAGTCTTTCATATATATCAAATATACCAAGGTGAGTTGCAAATCCCTGAATCTTAAGTCACGATTTTTATTGTGCCAAAATTCTTGCTCATTGTAAAGGAAGAAGTGAACACATAAAGCTGCTATTACTACAGTTATTTGAATGGAGAGAGTGACATAACTAGAAGTAATAGCTTCTCAGGAGTGCCCAAATGTATGAACTAAGATGTAGTAATATAAAAAAACAAGGTGATCAAAAGGAGTTTCATTTCATGAAGGCTAGATGAACTGCAAGTATATCTAGAAAAGAAAGTGATCACTCAAATCAGTTTAAAAAGAAAGGAATGGTCATCATGGAGAATTTGTCTTTATAGGTTAATTCCTTTGGACATTAGTAACTTAAAATATATGGAGGCTTGGCATGAAGGTCAAAGATGGCATGTTAAATCTTCAGGGAACACACATTTACACTAAAAAACACTTCTGTAACATTGTTTCAATCAACATTTCTGAACTTATTTGACCAGGGCATAGTTTTTATATATGCATAATACTGACATGTCTGTGGACGAGGCTTTTGGACTAGATGAGATACAGAAGTGTCTAAAAAGATGCTAAGTAAGGACTGACTCTGTCCTGTCCTCATTGAGCTGCTAATCTGAGAGCTATCAGAATATTACTTATGTAAGAGGGTGTCTTCTATGCAGGTAAACAATTGTAAATGGTGATCTGAGGATCATAATTCCTGGAGGCTTCAGTCTTATCAATTCTAAATAGAGATCAGGGGATAAGGTGAGATTTTTCCTGATGGAACTAGTTAACACATTCCTTTTGAGAGAGAAGTTCCTCTGCTGTGAGTCCCGTTACAACCCCTTTTGGGATAGGGGTGTGAAAAGGCTACTTTCTGACACCTGACATATGGGAAACACTTGAAACAAATTCATTTAAGGATCTTTGAAATAAGCTCACGTGGTTGGGAGACATGGATCTGGACTCTGAATAATATCTGAAAACATGTAAATAGTCTGCGAACGCCAGAGTCTGAGGAAGGCTAGATACACTCTCCTCATTGGTTTGGACGAGAAGGAAGAGGAGTGCTAACAGATTGTCTAGGAGAAGGATGCATGAGTACTTCTCTGTGGACTACATCTGAACCATATAGGAGGGCCAGCATTGCATCTTGGGTCCTGCCCAAGAGTGACTCCTACCAGAATTTTACCTAAATAAAAAGATAATAATTTAGCCAAAACTCAAAGAGGATAAATCATCAAAGAAGATGCATATCACTCATCCACTATGTAAAGCCATGCTATAAGATTAAATTGAAATTTAAACATATACTTTTCACAAAAAGTACAATTTTTAAAAGTAACATAATGTCCTTAAGACCTATCCTGGATTATGCTGACTAAAAAATGAGTACAGAACTTTATAACTAAACTTCTTGATAGAACTTGGTTTCTAGACCTAAAAATTTATTCTTTTAAATAAAAAAATTAGGGGTGGTGGTGGGTGCCTGTAATACCAACTACTTGGGAAATTGAGGCAGGAGAATCACTTGAACCCCATAGGCAGAGGTTGTAGTAAGCTGAGATCAAACCACTGCACTCCAGCCTGGGTGATAGAGACTCCATTTCAAAACAAAAATTATATTCTTTTAATCAGCTGTTCCCAATTACATTGCTCCAAGTGTCAGTAAATACCAAAGGGTTATACTAGTTTTCTTGTCTTCTATCAAGCACTTATAAGATCAAGAACTTCATGACTTGAATTATTACAAACATCACAACATCTTTGCATATAAATATCTATGATTCCATAAGTGAATACATTGAGTTTCCAAGTTAAAGTTGGCTAATATAGGAAATTTAAAAACATAAACTTTGTGAACTTATTTAATATGCAATAAAATGCTAATCACTGAAATCCTGGAAGTTGAAGATTTGTTTTCTTATTGAGAAAATGTATAGCAACGATGCAGACCAAAAAAAAAAAAAAAAAAAAAAAAAAAAAAAAAAGGTGTGAAAGGGACATTTTTATTAAAAGCAACATAAAATGAAAGAAAAACAACAGTGTAAGAGAAACATCAGATATAACATGATATAGTCTTATCTTAAATCTCCATAAAATTAGCCCAAATTCCTTTAAGTATATAATTCTGAAATTCACCATTGTATACAGTCTCTTGTTCCTTACTATGTTGTTATTTCTAATTCATTGGGAGACTATTTAAAAATGAACCTCAAAGCAATTTTTGTGGTTTATCTTTTCATTACTTCAGTAATAAAATGCCAGCTTGTTCACTGTAATAGCTGGTGGCAGTGTAATTATATTCAAGGGAAATATCTAGGTTTCCGTTCTCCTATTGTGTGATTATAGTGTTGAAAACTTCTAAATAAAGCAGTAACTAAAAACTTCTTTGGCATATTGAAAATAATTCTGAGACTAACTTGTTGTCACTCACCAAGAGAAATATTCTAGAACCATTTTAATCATTACTTTCAGAAATGTTCTTTGGCAAGGTGCATGACTCTGTCAGGATCAATAAAGCCCCTACATTACACATTGTTCCATTAATTTAAAATATTCTTATTTATCGCTCAGAAAGCTACTGATGTTTGGTCAAGAATATCAGTACGGTCCAAATACCCTATATTTAGCCCTAGCCAAAGAAATTCTTCATGTGAAAAAAAAAAAAAAATCCAACGAACAAATCATTGCCTATATTTACTTTTTCTCTCTCTTTTGAGAAAAGTTTAGAGCAGCAATCATTTTAATTAGCACACTGAGCATAAGAATGCATCATAGCAGTTGTTATATCCAGTTTTAAGACTGGAGAGTGTGGCGACTTATCTAGATATATGGGTAATATATGCTCAGCTAAGCATATGGATTGTAATATAAATTATGATTATAGATGAGGGGGGTACAGAGGGACATGTACAATAGCTGCCTGTCTCCACTTAATCAACTAACATTTTTCTAACACATACGAGAGAAGGTTTATTTTAACTATTGAAATATGATAAGAAAATGAGCCATGATAACATATTCTATCAGCTTTTTACATTTTGAAACACGTAACTATTTTTTTCTGTAGATGCAAAGTCACATTTTAAAAAATATTATTCAAAAGACAAATGAGAAACAAAAGATATGGTAATTATCTTGAAGCAACCTCAAAATATCAAAGATTGTGTGTTTTTACTTTAAACATTTTATCTCTTTTTTTTTTTTTTTTATAGAGGAGATAGTGTAGTTATCTTGAACACAATTCAATCTACTGGTTCAGGTTAGCTGGTTAAAGACATTGGAGATAAATAAAACAAATTACCTTCTCTTGATACTGCCGCCTAGAAGAATCCAGAGACTGGATTAAAGCAGTGGCATGGCCGACAAACATGGCATAGCAGGTGGCCCCGACGATCATGCTCAGCATGGTAATCCAGAGGTCAGACATGCTGACTGGGGCTTGGGCTCCATACCCAATGCACAGCATGTGACTCATAGCTTTGAAGAGTGCGTATGAATACTGCTTTCCCCAAGAATCATTCTGGAACATAACAGAAAAAGAAAATTGACTGAGTCATTAGGATGGCAGAATGAAAAGTGAGAATGATCTGTACACAGAAGCATGATGAAATACTGAATACTGGAATAATCCTTACAATGGAGAATTTACAAATGTGCTTCTCATTAATTGTGAATTAAATGATGATGTTTTTCAAATATTTCCTACTATGATGAAGTAGAAACAGTCTGCTGTTACTTACATGCACTCTTTGTCAGTTTTAAGTTTGCTGTTTTTAAAACTAAAATTCCTTTTGGGACAATGGTATGCCATGTAATAATGCCAAGAATGAATGCTTTAAGGTTTCCAGGAAATGTGGTCAAATAGTATTAATAATATATTTGTAAGCTATGAAATGCAGCAGACAGTATGACACATATAGGCCAAAGTATAGACATTTTTATCAAAACCATGAAGTTCAGATTTTAAAAACCCATACTGATATAGCTGTATAATCCTTAATACTATAGTTTTTCTAAATAAAAATTTAAACAAATATATATTGGAAATACAGATCTGATAGGTAAATGGAAAGACTTCCTTGAAGCCCTCACTCAAAGTGACATACATTGTAATTTGTGTCAGGATTGAAGACAGCTGAATCTTGTTGGTTTTTTATAAAATAATAAAATGAAATAGGCAAAAGAACATCTTGGCTTATGTCCTGGGGAAAAAAAAATACGAAATGCTGACTTTGGAGATTACTTATTAGTTTTAACTTCTGACGTCATTTCAAAACAATTGCAAGCTCAATTTTTTAAAAATGCTGTTCAATGTATCTTATCTAACTTTTGTTAAAATTTAAATTATTTTTTGGATAAATTTTATTGAACTCCCTAATTCAAGTATTACACAATTTATAAGAGCCAGAGCAAAATGAAAATGAGGGGGGTCTATTTCAAAGTGCAGGAAAAAAAATGTTGTTAAATATAATAAAACATAAAGATTTCTCCTTTAAAACTATTTTATTATTTATAAAACCTAATGTGATAACAGTGATAAATGAGTAACAATATAAACTTACAAATTTTAAAAATTAATATTTTAATGTCATAATTACATGTAATATAATAAATAATATTGTATTAATGTGATATTTTGATCATAAAATTTTTCTGGCTTTTCTGAAATTCATTTCTTAGATTATCAAAATTTATATAATTATCAACTTCATTTTCAGTGATTTCATTGACAATTACATCAGTTGCTCTTGGCTATTGCAAGATTACAAATAATTTTAAGTATTTTTAAATTTAAAAATGATCTTTCTATTAATTCAAATGTTATTAAACCTATTAGGGGTATTTTATAGGCTGTGAGATTAGGGTCAACTTCTGATAATTTATTTAAAAATATATATTTGAGTACATTTGGAGCTGATGATTTTCATAGAACAACTTTTCAATAAATATTTAAGTCATCATGCCAATCAGTTTCATACCAATTTCACATAGAATTCAGTTTTTACATCTGAATTTATTTTTTTAATTAAATTTTTTACTTTTAGGTAATTATAGATTTACATGTAAGTTATAAGAAATAATATAGAGAGATTCTATGTACTCTTCTCCCAGTTTCTCCAGAGGTAACATGCTGCAAACTATAGTATAGTTTCATAGCTAGGAAATTGACATTGGTATAATGTACTCATCTCATTTATAGCTCACTAATTTAAGTGTACTAATTTGTGTGCCTATATGTGTGTGTATATTTATTTCTATGCAATTTTGTCACATGTGTAGGTTCATGTATTTATTACAACAGTAAAGACATAGAACAATTCCATCACAAGGGTCACATATACTGCCTTTTATTGAATTGAGTGTTAAATTTAAATGTATGCAACGATGTTTTAGTGTTTCTTCTGATATTTCCTGTAACTTGTCAAGGCTGTGCAAAAAACTGAAAGTAGTTTCAAGATTTGCATATAATTCAAAATGCCTGTTTATATATTGTATTGCTATATTTTTAGTTACAAAGAAAGTTTAATTTAAAAAAATTATCTTCCTTGTTAATAATTGGTTTAATTTAAAACTTCATATAAAAATAGTGTTATTTTCCATCAAATGCGAGCCTTCAATTTAATTTGTATTTCTAAGTTTATGGACATCTGCTGTGCAATTTTGCAGCAGCTTTCAAAACTGGACATTGTAAACGCTGAAGAATTCTAATGACTTTCTAAAGTGCTTACTGCTGTGCCCATGTGTAACATTTATTTTGTAATAATTTATTTACAAGGTTTACTGCCTGAGTGCCATGGGTATTGTCTTGGAATTTAGGTGGGAGATTTAAAATTAAAATAGATACTACAGGGATAGTCCCTTGGGACTGATGAGCAAGCTGTCTACTTACCATGGGTGTTCTCCCTGCCTGCATGGGTAGCCACTTTCATCTCCCACGACTGCCTTTGTTGCTGCTGCTTCTCCTGCTGCTACAGATAGTCACTCCTAATCTGGGCCTAGTCCTGGTTCGGCCACATCAGCGACACATAGCATCCAGACTGCTGAGTCATGCATATGCTGCCTTGCTGCTAGGCCAATTGCATGTCTCCTGTGCCTACAGGCTTGAATCTATGCGTGTGCTGCTGCCATCCTGCAGTTCTGCTGCTCATGTTCACACCCTATTGTCCCAGTGGACTTCACTTACAAAACATCAGTTCAAAGATAAAATTATTAAGAGTTTCAAGACGGCAGGAGCAGAACATTAAACCAAGCACAGGGTTCTTTTGACAGTGAGGGACCCTGTGCAACTTCAAGGTCACATATCAATGAAGCCAAACCTTCATTTGTCAAATTAACTCTTAACTTATCATAAACTTTTCAAACTATTTTGTTTTGAATACATATGGATAGTTTTGTTTGTTGTTAATGGGACTTTCCAACATCAAACTTGTAGATTTAAAAAATAGAACAGAAGATTTAAAAGCCTAGTCTTATAAACCTTGGAACTGCACATAGCTGCTAAAAAATAAATAAAATAACTAATCCCATTTAGCTGAAAGGATTAAGGTTCTTAAAGTGAAATTCGCTGTTAATTAATTATAATAAAAGTCCTGCTCATATTAAACTATAGTCTCTATAAATGTATTTGCATGCAAATAAAAAATAAAATTTAATTTTAACACAAGAAAATTACTCATGTCATAATATTTTAATATGTACAAAGTATAATAAACTCATGCAAAAACTCTTATTTTGGAGATTGAGCAAACTTATACTTTTTTATAAGTGAAAATGTATAATACTCAGAAATACATCTAAGATTTCCAAAATTCTAGATGGTCCATGAACAAGAAATGGTATATTTACATTTACTAAAATGTAAAATCTAATTTAAGATTTCCTTTCTCCACTTAAGGGCACAGAAGAGGTATACTATTAAAGCATCTTGATGTATTTAGATAAAATGGAAATAATAAAAAGTTCAATGGGGTGTCAAGTGGAGACTACACTTTAATTATATTGGTATTGTTTATTTCTCTGTGTATGAATGGAGGCAGGGTATGGAGCTGGAAAAGAAAGTTTAATTCAGTTTTTCAAAATAATGCAGGTATGTCTATTTTCATTTATCTCACTAGAGACACAAAACACACACCTGCATATACATGCTCTTAAGTGACTTGAAATATATATTAAAAATGCTTGCTTTTTTTTTTTTTTTTTTTTGAGATGGAGTTTGGCTCTTGTTGCCCAGGCTGGAGTGCAATGACGCCATCTCAGCTCACTGCAACCTCCGCCTCCCGGGTTCAAGTGATTCTTTTGCCTCAGCCTCCCGAGTAGCTGAGATTAGTGCCACCATGCCCAGGTAATTTTTTTATTTCTAGTAGAGACGGCATTTCACCATGTTGTTCATACTGGTCTTGAACTCCTCGAACTCAAATTCCATCACCTCAGACAACCCACCTGCCTTGGCCTCCTAAAGTGCTGGGATTACAGGCTTGAGCCACTGTGCCCAGCCTAAAAATGCTTTCTTATTTTTCAAAATCATGAGCAACTTTTCTATTTCCCATTTTCCCCATGTTTCCATTCCTCTCTCTCCACCTATATTTCCCGAAAATCAGGTATGGATTCTGTACCTTTCTCCATGCTCATATGATCACACACACACATGCACATACACACATCCACGATTCTGGCTTTTTTTCCCACAAAAATGAATCTTATTGTATATGCTCTTATTGTTGTTATCACATATAAAATGCCTCCAAATAATCTGTTGTTCATATAACTATGCAATAGTTTGTTGATCATACCATAGTTAATTCAATTTACCCATTGTTCTCCAGCTTTTGCCACTACAAACTATTCTTTAATAAAAAAACTTTATCCATGTATCTTTTCTTTCCATCAATAAGACTCCCAAGAGTGTGATTATTGGTTCAAAGAGTAAGATCTTCAGTTTGATTTTAAAATATATTGCCAGATTGATTCAAAAGACAGTACCTTTTCCAAAACAATGTGTAAAAATATACTGTATCACCTTATACAGCGAGAAATAATAACCCATTGTTACTTTTATTAGCATTTCCCTAGCAAAGGAATTTGAGAAGGCATTCATGTATTTATTTACCAAATGGACTTGCTCATCTCTAATGAATTTTTTTCCTTATTAATTTGCAATGCCTCCTTGAAGACTGGATATCACCCTTTTAACTGATATGTGCTATAAATATTTATTCCTAATTTATCATTTGCCCATTGACCTTCCAATCATATAATTTTTCATATAAATATTTCAATTAGTTTATGTAGGAAAATTAAATCTGTAATTTCCTTGGCAGCTGCTGGATTTCTCATGATGATTCAAGAGGTATCTCTAAATAAGATTATTCCTATGTCCTGAATGCTTTTTCAGATTATTTTATTTTTTATATTTACTTATACTTACATGTGTTACCTAGAGAAAGGTTTCTTTTTGTATATAGAAAAGTTCACATTTCCTTTATTCTAAATAAATAGATTGTCTTTTTTGCCAGTATATAA